CTCCTACATGTATAGATTATAGGCACATGCTAAGAAAGTAAGTTTCTTACAATTTCCCTACCAAACTCAAGAACAAACGGCCCTGCCATCTTTAAAGCCCATTTTCAGCATCACTCAGATTTTTATAGATGACCTTTTCTGCCCAAAGGTATTATGCCTGTGGCTCTTATAGTAGCAGAGGCATTCCAGTTGAAGAGAATCTGAAGATCCGAAAGATATGATACAGAATTAGAATCTGATAAACACATTACAATTAATTCTTGTGGCAGTATTTATATAGGCCTAGACAATTTTCTATAATTCAAGAGCTGCCTATTACTCAACTTGGGAATGGTATCTCATTTCAGTTTTGTCTTTCCACATTGTGCTAGCCATTTTTTGGGCCACATCTCTGCACATTAGCAGAGATGAGTTAAGTAGTGCATTAAGTTTGCAACTAAAATGAAAATACCAGATTTCTACAGATAAGTATTTTCAATAAGCTTTCCTATGGATAACACTAAAAGTACATAACAATCTAGGTTCTGACTTGTACCTTAAATACTTATAAAATCTGATACATAAAAACCTGAAATTTCTCATTTGGTAGTCCGTAAAATGAAATTATCAAATTAGGTATATTTTAGGACCAAAGTCATTCTCCTTTCTGTAAAAGGCCATCAAATGTTAACTATAATTAAGTTAATTAATTTTGCTTTGTGGTTCTGATAGATCTAATTTATTTCCCCCAAAAAAGCTCACTATAACCAGGAGTCCTGTCACTAACACTTGCCATAAATAGTCTGTCTTTACCATCTTGAAATAAGCTTCCATGCCAGTAAGATACAGTCAGAAATGACTCATACACAGCTTTTCTTTTCATAAGAAAAATCAATCTGGGTGATGCTACCATAAGAATTAGTATCATATGAGAGAAAGGAAGAACTTGTTTGATCTAATTATTCAAAATGAGCCAAGTGTAGTTACCTAAAATAATCAAGGATACGAATTAGCAAGTAACGGTCTACCCTGAGGGGACAAATATAATTATGCTGCTTACAATGGTTTTAAATTCATACAGCTCTAGAAAAAAATGCCAAATTATGTCTCTATAATATAAAATCATATTCAGTTTACAATGTACTTAATCATTTAGAAGTACTCAACAGAGTTAGGACCTTGGAAAGTAACAAATTAGGTTTGTTAGCTATTTTCAGTAACTCCAACAACCTACTAGAAAGGCAGCATCTGCAATGTGCAATTTCTTTCTTTCCCTGTCTCTCCCTTTCTATTTCTGTATTACACACACACACACACAGGAGTCACTGAGGAGTCCACAGATGGATAAGTGAATAAGCAAACTCTCAATCTCAATCTCAATCTGGATCTCCTTGCTTCCTCCTCTCTTCCTCACCCCGTGGCTACTGTGTAGCCTTCAAAAAGGAAAGAAATTGACACATACTACCTTAGGGATGAGGCTTGAAAACATTATGCTACATGAGATAAGAATTATATAATGACAAATACAGACTTGGAGTAGTCCAATTCATAAAGACAGAAAGTAGAATGGTGGTTGTCAGGGGCTAGGAAAGTTGAACAGGGTATTCTTTATTTAATAGTCATAGAGATTCAGTTGAAGAAGATGCCAAAGTTCTGGAGATGGATGATGGTGATGGCTGTATAGCAGTATGAATGTGCTTAAGGCCATAGAACTAGCTATACATTTAGAAATGTCTAGAACAGTAGAGTAAAATTCTGAAAACTAAATATTAGTTCATCTAATCACAGATTAAGAAAAGGAGTAACATAATATCCTAATATTACTAAAAAACACTTGAACCTAGAGAGTCTTTAATTTCATGGTTTTTTGTTTTGCTTTTCTTCATCTTTTAAACTCTCAACCTCCTAAGTTTATTTGATTCAATTTATTCATGTTGTGTATTATAGGTTTTATGAAGGGAAGACTAGACTCCAAGAATCACCAATTGTTATGTTCAGAAGATCTATATTCCTCTTGAAGTCTAGGCTACACAGTAAAAAAATATAATTACATATCATATAGAAGTTATTTTTATAATAAGCATTATCCTGTTATACAGTATTAATCCAAATCAACTTTGTTCTGACTAATCTAGGCTATGCTGAATTATATTACCAAATATGGATTTTTTCAATTTTAACTAATGTTCTAAAATTTCACTTGTAACTCCTAAGTAGAATTTGTGAACAATTATTGGCCCATGCTTCATCAAATTTATAATAATCCACTTCCAAGCTTACTATTTTCATGATGAGGCTACAAAACATACATTATACGAATTTTTCTATTTTGCCTTACTATTTATAAAGTCTTATCTCAGTCTAAAGTAACACAATGTTTCAATTAGGGAGAGCATACAGCTTGACTGTGACAATGTTGTGATACATAGCAGTGAAGAACATGAACTCTGTAGTCACAGGGTCCAGGACTGAATCCTGGTTCTACCACTATTTAGAGGTATGAGTGAGTAAATTACTTAATTTATTTAATCTCAGTTTCTTCATTTTACAATTGAGTCTATTTAATGGTATTGTGAGAACTGTGCAGATAAAACTCATCAATGTTTGACATAAAATGAATTATTTAATGCTAGCATTTAAAAATAGTCATAGCAACTAACATAGAAATAAGTTCAATGTTGAAGTGAAAAATTTTATACTGAAATGTCTTAAAATGAACCCACAGATTGTAACTAAAAAATAAATCTATGAAAGACAAATTATATTTTATAACATTCACTTTATTTTGTTCATGTCTTGACTTTTAATATCCTTTTAAAGTGATATGAAACCAAACAAAAATAAAGAGTAAAGCTAGGTATGTGTATGAAAGTGTGTGTATATACACATTCCTCTTCAATGTGCTATGTACAATTTAAGGAAGTTGTATAGGAAATGAAAAAAAAAACAGTTGAAAACTAAGTAGAAGGAGTCACAGACAATAAGGATAACAAAGTATACAAATGTAGGCAAATTTCCAAGTTTGGCTATTTGAACAATTCACTACTGTTAGAAAAAAATACTGTAATTCTGGCAGATATCCTAAAGGATAAATTCACAGATCCAGAAAAGTTAGATAGTCTTATCACTTCTTATCAATGTAGGCAAGAGAATTTTTTTTTAACAAAACCATACTGCTACCAGTTATTACTACTAAAGATTTCTAAAGTACATGTTATTTGATAATGAGATTTCTGCCACTATTTCCCTAGAAAGCATAAAGGGTTTCTATGGTATCGAATATATGTATTTTTACTACACAAACATGAAGTAAACTCCAAACTTAATAACAGACCTGTGGTTCCAAAAATGTATTCCTTGGAACACTAATGACATAAGACTGGAGTAAGAGAAAAAAGAGGGAACTGTAGTCAAATAGACTGATGTCAGGAAAACACTGCATTCTATATCTACAGTACTAGGGATTCACAACACTACTAACATAACAGGTTCTGAGTAGTTCTGCAATGAACATAGCTGTTTGCATATTTTAATCCATATTTCAGAATGTTACTTGGCCATACAATTCTTTCTTTAGGCAATGCCAAGAATCCAGTACCCATCAGAACAATTTTTCCCCTTTGGGAAGTACACAATAAATTTCCTATCATTATTTATTAGATGAGTAATTTCATATTTATCTAACCCAATAAGACAGTCACTGGCAGAATTTGCTGAAGAATGAGTCCACTGCATTCCACGTCAAACAAATTCTAACATACCTAGGCTAGCATTTATACTCTCTTTGAAAAGTTGTGGTTATTTCCAGGATATGCATTTTGACCCATTACAGCCTGTATGTTATTTAATCGATTGCAAACACCCCATTTCCAACACATGAGAAAAGTTAAAAATAAATGTTACCCATCTAAAACATTGTTTTTTTTTCCCTGAGTTTCACTACAGTATGAGAAAAAACGCGTAACTGTAAACTACTACATACCTTCAAATGTGAAATTACTTAATTCAGTTATAGTATTTTATTAGCTGGTACAATAAGCCTGTATTTATTCAATTCTACAGTAAAATAATGAATATTTCATAACAATCCTGCAGCAAAGTGGTGATTATTTTATTTTCCTAACAGTGGCCTAACAGCTTTACTAAGTATATAGAACAAAATACTATAATTTCTATTGTATCTATGAAAGTTAAAACTTGTCCCAAGTACCAATAATCAGGAAAAACCAATTTCTGGTTGGGTGAGCACTGTACATATTACAACCATAAAAGCTGTGTCAGATAACCACACTAAAACATGAACAAAAATAGGAAATTCTTTTACTAACACCTTATTATTTAAGGAATTTTATTATGTGAAATAATTTTGGAATACAATTTTCTAGAAAGCTGAACTTGAACAAAATTCTGATGGCACTCCTGATAGCTTGAGTTTAGAATTAAGAACAAAGTCTTAACAAGTATAATGAGGTACTCATTACTTTAGCCTTATGTTAGATGAAACAAAATAAGCACTACCATTAATTTGCTGTAAAGTGTGAATGTGAATGATTATGCTGCCAGGCTGTGACATCACTTTCTTCTTAGGTTCTCCCTTAAATTTCAAAAGTATATTTTTAAAACTGTAACAAAATGTGTAAGATGAAAGAGACATGAACTATTTTTAAAAGTTCTGAAAGAGAAAAAATAATGATGGCTATGAAGAAAACACCATATTTTGGTAGCCCTTGAAAATTCGGTCACTGATTTTCAAGTAATACAGTATAACTTGGCCATTAGAAGAAAGAAACACTTCAAAATATCTATTGCAAAATACCAATAATCACAATGTTTTGTATTATAACATATTAATAACATTTTACAAGTGATAAAGTATTTAGTCAAACAGAAAGAAACCCTGACATGAAAGGAGGCAAGAATGATGACAATTCAGTAAAGAAAAAGGAGTTCAAATATCAGGCTCAAGTTTTGCAATCTTTTTCTTTAATGCACAAGCAGAGGTAACAAAAATTAGTCTTCACCTGGTAAGTGTGTACTCCCTGAGTCCTGAATGCAAATTCATGGCAGAAAAAGTACCTATGCATCCACGCAATCTTTTGTCTCGACCAATCTTCCACGTTACAAACAGTGGGCTGTAATGGAAGATAAAAAAAGGGTAAATTAATCAGTTCAACTCAAGCAAGTATATTTATTGAGTATTTACTGTGCACTCAATTAGATGTCTGAGACATAAAGATGAAAAGGCAAGCCCTCAAGGGGCTCAAGGTCTACCTATATAGGATTTTATTTTGCAAAACTTAGATGTTGTATTGAGTATGCCCTATTATGAAGCACCACAATAAATATTTTAACAAATTATTTCTGTTAAAATTCATTAATAAATTTAAGAGGTCGATGCCAACATTCTTATTTAAAAATTAAGTAGTTCCATAATTCATACATAATGACATTGGTATTCAAATCTGGGCAATGTTGCCTATAGAGCCTCATGGACTCTATCATGGACTACCGCTGGATTCATCACTTAAACTACAATTTCCTGATAGATTTATAAATGTAACTTAGAAAATTTGGGGGGGGGAATCAAGAACTTCAATTGTAGTTTTAAATGAAGTTTAATACAGTATCTACTTAGAATCTGCAGCAAACCAATGATACTACAATTAATGGTTAAGTCCAAAAAAGAACTGTTGTAATTAAAAGCAACACATGTCAGTTTTTATAAAATAAAGTAATTTATACAACTTAGGTCATTTTATGAAAATATAAAGAAACCAAAGTTCAGCCTATATTAACATGAGTATAATACTGATATACTGTAATACATTTCTTCTTTCTATATATTTTAAAATTGGGAGAAATACAATGTCATATATTTCTTATATTGCACTGGTGAGTTAGAGAACATTCTTTAAAATATCCTTTAGTTAATCATCAGCGGTTGCATGAAAAGATATTTCATTCAAACAGTTCAATCATCCACCTCAAACATTTAAATTATGCCAAGTTCTGACAGCAAAAATGATAAACACGTTTCCAATTGAATCATGTATACGAATCAGGGAGCAATACTAAGAGTTACTTTCTTCCAAGAGCCAAATGAAAAAGGATAACTGAAGTATAAGATGACAGTGAGCATGGGGAGGATAATGGGAACTGATTAAAGTATGCTATGCACAGATACATTCTGCCCAAATGAAACTCGTCAATCTGCACAACCAACATACATTAATAAAAATGGGGGAAATTGACATTCAGGAGCTAGATAACATGCACTAAATGTATGTTATAGCTTGTGTCTAGATGTCCCCCCAAAGCCTCATATGATGACTGGACTTAAGCGTGTGTGATGCTGAGATCAAGGATGTGTGATTACTAAATTAGTCCACTGGGTCCAAGGATATAGCTCAACATCAAAGTGCCTGCCTGGCAAGCATGAGGTTCTGAGTTTGATTCCCAGTACAAAAAGTTAGCCCACTGATTGGTTTGTCATATTTCTGGGATGGATAATGGGAAGGCCCTCCCTGGGTGTGAGTGCTACTTGCCTGGACAGTACATAAGATCAGAAATAGGGCTGCTCTGGCCACTTGTCACTCGTTGCTTGCTGCTTTGCTACTTTGCAGCTGCCTGTCTACCATGAACTGTTTCTCCTCTGCAATGGCCCTCTAATATGCCATCTTACCTTGGATCCAGCAACTATGAACTGCAACCCCTACAAACTGTGAATTTCAATAAACCTCTGCTCTTTTAACCTTGGGTTTCAGGTAGTTTGTTTTAGCAACAAGAAAAGTAATTAAGACAAAGTACTAAATTAAAAAGCAAAAGGTAATGGCCAGGTTTTCTGCTATTTCATATGTATTAAATAAATACATATGATGCTGTATGGGAGATCCATGGAAAATTTTCTCTAATTGCATAACTAGCAGTTGACTACAAGAATTAGATAAGATTACTTTCTAATCAATTCTTTCGTTACACAAAAAATATCCTAAAGTTTACATGTTATCTTTAAACATGAATTTTACTTCTTCATTTTTTATTCTCTGACATAGTAGAAATGATGTTAGTAACCATTTTTATGGATATTAAGATATCAATCCTCACTCATTACAACCATATACAGTATCTCTATGGAGGCACATACATTGGCAGCTTAGGCATCTACAGAATAAAGTTAATCACAATATAAAATATATAGTTTGTTTACTACATATACAAAATAGCTCTTTAAAATACCATGATAGCTTTTCAACATGGAACTATGTCATGTATTGTCTTTCTAAATGATCTAGGTGAGAAATGCACAAATGTGAGTGAATTTATTTCCTATCAAAAAACTAAAAATGAGGTCACTTCAAAGTAGCTTGCCTTCAATTCCCTTATTTATGCCACTAACATATGTATGTGTATCTGTATGGTGCTTAATTATATAACTTTATCTGCTTAAGTAAGTATTCTAAATATACAAGATTCATAGAAAAATATTCAAACTGGACATTATACTATGGATATGTTGGAGGGTATTCAAAGACATGGTGGGGAAATTACATATCATTTCTTATAATACTATGCTATCAGTGATGACAAAATGATTAATTCAGGACTTGGGTGAAAGAGGATAAATTTGCATTTGTGCAAGGCAGTGTACAGAGCACAGGCACTTCCAAATAAGGAAGAGCATGAAGATCTAAAAGCGAATAGCATATTTATGGACCGAGAACTAACCTAATAGTCTTAATAAGCTTCCCATAGTGTTGTCTAGATTTAGCATTCTTTGAATTTTAGGTACTATTGAATATGTGGTTCTTAAGGGCCCTCATAAGTGGTAAAACAAAAGCACATGCTCTGTACTCTCCCTGCTCCTCATTTGTCCCAGGCAACTTCCATTTTGGGAGTTGAATCTGGGAAAGTATCCATGTTGAGGATGACTGCAGCCCTACTGTGTTTAGGACAAATGCCTAACAGAGAGAAGAAATCAGACTTTTAGTATACAGAATAAAACTATTTCTCAAGAATCTGGACCTCATTTGCAATACTCATCCAAAATCTCTTGTGAAAACACATACGTGGAATTAAAAATAACTAAAATGTGTAAAAGCAACATGGAACAGGGAACATAATTCAGGAAACTAAGCATTTTAAAGTAGACTGAAATAGAATAAACACCACTAAGTACTACAGATTGCATTTTGTGTGATGACTACTTTGTACAGGGCAATGACTACAGGAACATTCAAAATATATTATCTAAAAATAGCAGCAAAATTTTTTCCTCACCCAGCACCCTCGAAAGGAACAGGCAATTTCATTCTTAAATGTGCTATTAAAACATGTATGAGTTCCCAAAAGGGCTTAAGTAAGACAGCAGCATAATCAGAGACAGATCAAAGTAGAATAAGAGTGTGTGAGTCTGTTGAGATGAACTGCTCAATGATAAGAAAATTTTAAAAAATGCATAGAAGAGAAAGACGAACTGTTTCTAAAAAATGCTTTCATCATGTGGTTTGAAGCCACCTACAAACATAGAAAAAATACTACAAAGTAGAATGGGCTCAGTGAGAGGAAGCTGCAGCAGGATTGCCAAGAGTTCAAGGCCAGCCTCGGCTACATGGTAAGTTCAATGCCAGCCTGAAATATATAGTGAGACCTTATCTCAAAAAAAAAAAAAAAAAAAAAAAAACCAAAAATGAGATGAAATATTAATGGAAATGTTTGAGGGTTACTAGATACAGTTTTTTTTAAAAAAAGGAATTATCGTACTTTTGAACATCTTTTAACACTATATTATACGAAAAATTTGAAGATATATTCCCATTTTTCCTGTCTATAAACAGACAAAAAGAGGAGGAGACCTCCTAATCTAGTTCAATTCTCTCTGCCTGTGCCAACTGACAATCTATTATATTAGGGAAATAGTGACTCTGAGGAAAATACAGTGGTATGGAATCAGCAATAGTACATTCATGTAATGTAAATCTATGACTGTCTTCTGATATTCTTCCATTAATATAAGCCAAAACAAATGATAAATATATTTGTGTGGAAAGGGTAGTTATATAAGACAATGACAAGAGTATTTAATTTAAAATATTGTATCTTAAATCCTATTTTTCCTGCTATACTAAGGCAAAACTGGAAGTAAAAAATATAATTTTAGGCCAATTTGAAAGCTGATTCTGGAAATTTTCTGTTCCTTAAGATGAGATTTGTAAGTAGTTACACTGACAAAATAAAATCAAACCCTACCAATACAATAATTTATTATAACAGAGGTACTCAACAAGGTTATTTATTTTGAAAGTAGACACAGGAAAAGAGACAGGCCCTGTAGTTTGATTCTATTTTTCTTCCATCAGTAACAAGTGCTTCTCAAATGTACTTGGGTTCTTTTGCAACCTACCTCAAAAATTCAACTATATGACTCATAACATCCAAGTAAATTTAATAACATAATTCTCCAGAAGCAATTGTCTTTTCTACCACCAGGTTAAAACTTTTATTTCCTACTTTTAAAAAAAGAAACTAAGTATTTTATTTTCAAACATATAAATAAGTTAAATCTATTAAAATCTACCTTCTATGGCTAAGCCTTGTATTAGCATAGTCTGCCACACAAAATACTATAGACTAGATGTCTTAAAGAGCAAAAACATATTTACTAATACTTCTGGGGGTTACAAAGTTTAAGAACAATGTTATGACCAAGATAATGACATGGTTCCCTTCCTGGCTTCCAAAAGGCCACTTGGTGTTCACATGGCCTTTCCTGTGAGCATGTGGGGAAGAAACAATCCTGTTTCTTCTTATAAAGACATACTATCAGATCAGTGACCCATCTTTACAAGCTTACCCTTATTTCCATATAGGCTCTATGTCCAACTATAGTCACTTTGGGTGTTAGCACGTGAACATACAAATGTAGGGGGGGGCACAAAATTTAGTACACAGTTTACAGTTTGTAATACAGTGTATATAACAAAATCATTTGCTTGAAAGAGCTTTAGGAGAGGATCCTTCTCTTTTCTATCTTAAAAGTGATAAAAAATAAAGTGATCTGAGAACGGTAAGTGCAGCCACTAACTCCATTAGTGTTAGAACTTGTCATGTTCCACAAATTTTACTAATACAGATA